CTCCCCCATGTCCCGCCACTGACCAACTCCAACTTCCGCAGGCGTCGTCGTCCAACGCAGTAACTCAGTCGCCTGTAACAGCTTGAACGATGGCTTTGGATTCAGTGCGTGGTGAGACGAAGTCCGCGGCTGTTCGAGGTGACGATTGTTTATCCTCCCTCCCTAGATAATATCCAGCAACAGGACCACACGCTCTTCATGTTGCCATCCCATCTATGTCCATCTCAGAAATTAGGGCTCTGAAATATTACAATTTTAGAATTTGGGGGTGGACTTTTTTTTTGTAAATTAGATAATTCAATGGGACCTGATTGTAAATTAAAGAGTTTTAACTATATTACAATTTAGTTTATGTGGAAAATCTGTAATTTATAAAAAAATATATAAAAAATAAGTTATATATATTTATACATTTATATAGTATATTCTTTTCAACAAAAAAATAATATAGAATGTTAAATAAAATTACAAAAATACAAACATATTTTCGTAACATAAATAATAAATTATTAAATTATTTATGTTAATTAGATTAAGCAATCGAGAAATCTAATTATTTCGTTTGTTTTGAATTTGCAATCGAGAAATCTAATTATTTCGTTTGTTTTGAATTTGCACATAAAATACTTACACTATTGAATTTGAATGCACAATATAAATTATAAAATAGGATGCACATTAGTGACAGTCGGACTGCAACATACTATTAGACCAAATGCACATTAATGCGTTTGAGATTGCACATTAGCATAGCAACATATATCGCACAATGATGTAACACCCCGCCTTATCGTGAAATCAGAGTGCGAAAATTTCGCAAAGTTTCTAAAAATAAAATCTTTTACTTTGCGAAAACTGATTCGGGGTGCTACCGTAAGACGTGACTTATTTTGGAAAATCGTATTTTAATTTTTAACAAAATCATACGGTTTACTGAAAGCATAAATTTTTTCCGAAAATCTGATCAAAAGATAAGTTCGTCAATATCAAAGTCAGCAGAAACGTAATATCGTCAAAATATATACAATCATAACATAAAAGTCCTGAAGCATCCGTCATCTCACGCCCTCGGCCCGACATCCTGACCTAAAAAAAAAAATGATAAAAGTGGGTCGTGAGCACTATAACACTGTGCTCCGTGGAAA